CTGACTCGCTGCAGTTCCGCGGAGCGTCTCGCTAGGTCGTCACGTAGATCGCGCGCTTCATCGCTCCGAGTGAGGAACCAGTCAGCCAGGGTATCGACCAACCCGCCTACGGTCCAACCGCGCCGGCTGGCCACGCCTAACGCCCATACTACCTTGGCGGACGCTGCCAACTCTCCGTGGGGGAGCACCAGTTCGCGTACGCGACGCCCTCGGGGCGTTTCCTGCCCCACCGCATCGAGCGGTGGGATGGGGAGGACAGTCGCTGCGGAGACAGGGTCCCCTACAGGACCACGGCCGACGACCGACGTCGGCCGAAAGGGGTTCACAGCGGTGCTAACGGAGTCCACGGCCACGGCGTCGAGGTCCCTGTAACGTTTACGGCGCCCGCGCCGATGCTCAGACCCGACCCCTCCCCTCGGCTGCGCGTTGCCGGAGACCGACGGCACGAGGGGAGAGCGCGCCACGAAGGCGTCCGCCGTGGGATCGTACGTGAGATAGGAGCTGCGAGCTCCGGTCGTATAGTCCATCCACGAACGGTGGTTCCGAGGGGTGACTTCGCTGGCGCGGTCCATGAGGCTAATGGCATGGCCGAATGTCCAAGGGGCGTGACTGGACCCGTGTTCGGACGGATGCAGCGCAACGTCGGGAAGGCCCGACGCGACGCGCCTCACGAACGCAACCGTGGGGCCGGGCTGAACGAACGCCCGCTTGTTCATGTAAACCTCCGACATGAAGGCGCAGCATACGGACCACGCCCACTCGCGCTCATAGTTGTAAGCGAGCCGCGAGTGGGCTGGATGCTGTAGGTCGGCGCACGCGATGCCAAAATACTTCAGGATGGGAGGCAGAAGGGGGTGTACCCCTAGTGAAGGAAAGCTCTCCCGCACGCTCACGGGGAGAGCTGGAAAATCCCCGACTGTCAAGCCGGACGCAAAGGCAGCGGATGGGACGACCCGACCGTCCGCCTCGTCGTCTCTCCTGTAGGCGGACCAATCGTGGTGAGCGAAACCCATGGCATATAGCCGCATCAAGGAACAAGAGGACTTCTGTAGAGCCACGAGGGGCTTGGTGAAGGCGTAGGGGCGGGGCGAGACGTACAACCCCGCCAACTCCGACAGCACGAAGCGTCGGGGGTCTAGCCGCACCGACCCGGACAGGAACGCCCCCATACGATCAACGTAGAGGACCTCTGCAGCACTGTACACGAATGTACGATCGCCCGGCAGCTCGTCCGGGAGCTGGTAGCCGACACCGCCGCCTTCGGCCATTAAGCGACGAAGGGCCGAAGACGCTTCTTCGAGGCCGCCCGCTTCGTATACCTTGAACACGCGGGCGAGATCGGACCGAAGCCACCCGCACGAGATCACCTCCGCTACGGTGACCCCCGAACGGCCCCTGCGCAACCAGGGGTACTGCAGCTCGTCGACAGAGAGCAGTGGGGCATCGGAAGACGGAACCCCGAACCACCGCGTGGCAGAGGCCACCTCCCCCTCCCGACCGGAAGAGGAGGGGGGAGGTACAGGAGGACGACGGCCAAAGGACGCACCATCAGGAGCGGCGTGGTCGCGCGTGACGTCCAAATGCGCAACGGGAAGGACGTCGTCCGCTGGGGCCGAAGGGGTAGCCGGACGGAACGCGATAACCGGTTTGGGTGGCCCCACGGGAGGGGCCACCAGCTCCACGGAGACGGTCGTGGAGCGGGAACGGGACTTCTGGAAAGCCGGCGGGGCCAGCGGGGCCGTACGAGTCAGAGCGATGTCGTCCTCTCGCGATCCAGGGGACGCGCTCGATGAAGCGACCCCGCTCGGCAAAGGAATCGCGACGACGGACGCGCCCGCCGCCATCGAGCGGAGGCGGAGGCGGAGGAGGAAGAGAGGTCGAGTCGGCCATGATAGGACGGCCGATAGGACGGAGCCGAGATGATCGATCGGGACTGTCGGGGAAGGACTGGGACAGTGCAAAGTGGACGCGGACGTCCACACTTGAGAGGGGGGCCATGTAGCATATCCCCCTCTCTAAATTAGATTTAGATTAGATTTATAACAGTAGAGCCCGAGCTCTACAGTACCTCAGTGCGCGCGCACACGTGTACCCCACGTGTACAGGGGCGCGCGCGCACACACGTGTACAACACGTGTGCTGCCAGCCCCGACGGCTGACAGCACTACAGTGCAGGCCGACCTGCACTACTGTAATGTTATGACAGGTGACCCTGTACATTAAATATGAGCGGACCGCCGGCGGTGGAGGGCGACAAGCACGGACTTGTCAAGGATCCTCCACCTTGGTCCGCCCGCTTACTTTTAGGTACTTCCGTCCGTTTTACCTAGGAGTAGCACCGCGCGCGGGTTGAGGACGCGCGTAGCACGCCCACGAGCCGGCTCCGCCTCCGCCCGTCGGTACTGGATCGTCACCCAGTACCGCTCCGGGGCGTCGAGGCGTAGAACCGCTCGCGCGTGCGCGCGTCCTCACCGATCCCGCTCTACCACCGCTACCTCGAGCCCGTGCTCGGTACCGTGGGTGGGCCGAGCTTCTGTCTTCCCGCCGATCGGGGTCTTTCCGAACTGTCAGTACTCACCCCCCTCGTCGTTGGGGGTGATTATACTACAGATGCTGTACTACTTGGCGGACGGAAACTACCCGGAGTGGTCGATTTTTGTTAAGCCGCTTTCGGCCCCAGTCAACGATCGAGAAAGATATTTCGCAGAACGCCAGATGAGTGTTCGAAAGGATGTTGGACGGCTTTTTGGTGTCCTTCAAGGGCGCATTAAGATTTTGCGCCATGAGTCCTTCGAGTGGTCTGACTCTATCCTGATACTCATAAGCCAGGTCTGCGTAATCCTACATAACATGATTGTAGATATGCATAAGAGGGGAGAGTGTATGGACGAGGTAGATGAACACGGGAATACCGTGAACGTAGTTACTGAGTTCGACTTAATTGCGGACGAGACAGTACCCGGCGCCAACGCGTCAAGTACTGAAGCGACGCAGTCTTCAGCTGGTCTTAGCGTGCTACTTGACAGAAACGATCTCGTTCGAAACCCTCTACTGCATCGAGAACTATGGGAGCAGCTATCTTACCATTTATGGTCAAATCGTGGAGAACAGTAAATAAATGCACTTTATTATACGTTTAACATTCCCACCACACCTCAAACATGTCTAAAACGACGCAGAGGGCTCTGCAAGCCTCCGGTGGCTGGGGCTTCGCCCCAAACCCCGCTCCTGCCGGAGAGCACCAAATATTCACTCCGCCCAACTGCGGGTTCCCAACATTCTACTTGCTTATCGATGAACCAGGACGCTCCTCTCCCACAGAACTTCCACTTCTTCGTCTGTCCCTTCCAGCCTCTCTGACGGGTCAGGACTTTGAAAAAGTCGTTTGGGATTTCGCCAAAGTAGTCCTCTATGACTTCCACAGATGGCATGCTGCCACTGCTCTCCAACGTTGGTTGCGCCGTGGGTTGTGACGGTGCTGCACTGGAGTGTAAATAGGATGCCTTTGATCTCAACGTCTGTAGTTCTGCATTCATGACGGACTGTGGTAGAGCCATGCGACGCAGAATCTCAAATTCAAGCATGGTTGAAGCTGCGTCACTTTTTGCTCGCGAAGATGCTCGCAAAGCTTGAGACATGTTATCTACACTTTTTGCCACCTTCGAAGAGCCCACGGCGGCCCTGTCTTCCCCTTTCCGCTTTTTCGACCCTGATGGACGACTTAACGACGGCCTTTCGATGCTTGTGTTACCCCCATCTTCCGATTCGTTGCTATCTTGTACCGTTTTAGGCTTGTAGCCTGCAGCATATCTGCTGCCTCCCCCAACGCAGGCCGAAAACTTAGGACACTTTGCAAGGAAGCGTACAGCCTCCATAAACTTGATGGAGGGTGGCGTACGCAACACGCCACGCTCTATATGTTTGTTTTGCTGGCGGTAGAGGCACATGATGTGCTCGGGTGCCTCCTCCTCGGTTTCTCCGGACGGCGGACAGGACCTATACTGCTTGTCAGCTGACAGATACTTCTGTGTGAGGCGGCTTACGGTCTTCCAACGAGACTCGAGAGCGGAAGCGGTTCTCTCGCGACACGCTTCTGGTTGATGCACAAAACGGGCGTGTACAGCCTCCCAGAACAAATGGGACCTCAAGTCTGCTGTGGACGTGGAGGCGGAAACCCAGGCACGAGCCGACGCTGCATCTTCCTCCGGTGTGAAACTGGGACCTCTGGGCCCCCTGCTCTGGGTTGATGTGGACGCCATTTTTTTGAATGGAAAGGAGGAGGGATGAAGGGTCGGTAGGAAGGAATGGCATATGGCATCGAAAACTACGTAGTGATATACCGTCATGGGCTACTCATTTTTTCGCGGGAACCTGTTCTGCCTTCTTGCTCCCTTGTAATCTTCTAATTCGATTGATCGATTTGTTCCCGGCACAAACTTCGGAACAAAATCTGATGCGGACGTTCCGAGATTTGTGCACAAGAACAAATTTGACTTTTATCTTTCCCATAATAGGGCTGCCAAATTTCAGGGACAAAACAAATTTGTTCTTTTGTTCCCATAATAGGGTTGCTCTTAGTGTCCGACGGGCGGCGACGCGGAGACAACAACTCGAGACTTCATGACCCGTGACCGCGCCATCGCACGCCGCACGCTCATTGGACGCGGCATTCTATTGGTATCGCCATATGCCGCAACCCGAGCTTCCAACCGCCGATGTTCCTAGAGGAACCTCTCCTTCCTCACCCACTCGACTCTCGTTTTTTCCTTCTCATTGGACAGTGCTTCCTTAAGGCCAGTAGAAACTTTCTTAGCTTTCTCTTTTCGCTCTTGCGCTGTGACTAACTCCATGACATCACGCCTTGTTAATGTCAGACCCTTAGAGCTATTTACCCAACCGCGCCGCAACACAATAGGTTGGAAGCACATCCCATGGCGCATTGCCTCCCGCTTTTCCTCCAATAAAATGGATAACTCCTCTACACCTAAAACCCGTTCCACTTATGCCTCCGAAAATGGACGCGGGACATTTAAAACAGCCAAAGGATTGAACGGGCTGATGCCAGAGGCGGCAAAGCTTTTCAGCACATTGTCACGTGTAAATGACGTAGCGTATGGGGCGGTTATTAGTCTTAAAAAGTCAAATGTATCCAACTCCATGTTCACAACATGCATTCCTGTTTGCGCAATCTTCGTATTTAGATTTTCTTTGGAAGAACGAAACACATGCAGATCTAAAGGCTGCGTTGTCCCACTCGTGTGAGCGGGCAGAGCATAGGCAATAATATTTCCCTCCCTTACAATTTCGAATATTTTGAGTCCCATATGACTGCGGTACCCGTCATAAACGAGAAGTACCTTTCGAGCGTTGGCTCTCAAAGGAAGACAATATTGAACGAATGCCTTGGCCCATCGCTCAAAAATAAACTTGTCAACGCCCGCCAACTCCCGTCTAGTCGTGATGTTCACATGAGGAGGAAGACAGTCAGCAAAGGATTCTAGCAGTTCAGCGCCATCGACATTTATGACTCGGTAGGCCACAGATGCGCCCTGAACCACGAAGGTTGGGGTACCCACACTTCCGCACGCAAAAATAGCAGGCAGCAAAGTTACACGATGAACATTCTTGAAGAACGCAGCTCTGTATTGGGAAACCACACCCTTAGTACAGTAAGGTTTTGTCCGCATACGCCCGCTGGCATCTCGGTTGGGAGAATATCCGGTTTCGTCGATATTACATATCCTTGAACTATCAATATGAAAGGTTTTGATTATACTTTCCAATTCTGCAAAGTGAGTGGTGAGGTTCTGTGCGTTTGTGGCTCGGTATCGCAAGGCGTCTTGACGTGAAGCCTTGCCAATTTTGATCACACTTTGATGACGAGTCTCGAAGTTCCTTATGAATTTCTTCCCTGGACGATCAGCAATGAACGGCACTTTTTCGCGGCGCTCGGGGGTCATGTGTTTGACAATGATTTCTACGGCATCGGCAACATCGGAACGCGTGAGCGGTCGGGCTTGTGACGCATATCTTTTTACCAGCTCAACGATGGAAGTCTCTTCCTTCTCTGTCAGGGCGTTTCGAGCGTCAAACTTCGGTTTTTGTGACATGCTTTCAGATGTTATGTGTTTCTGAAACTGGTACTGGAACGTAGAGACTGGGAGCCGTGCTATTTTTGCGCCATCCCGGCGAGAGCTTCCAGCGATCACTGCATTGAATGCCTCATGAATGCGGCGTTTTGCGCGCTTCTCGCGCCGCAATTGTTTTGACATGTGGAGCGGGAACTCGATGTGGTGCAGGATTGAGTTGAGGAACGTGAGTGTTGTGTGCTGTGGCGATCTGTGTGCAGAGCCGAGGGCTTGTGGCGGCAATTTTTTGTTCGAAAAAGGCGGGAATGAGCAAATGGAAGCTTTCCGACCAAAAAAAGACCGCCATGTATGATTTTGAGGTCATTTGGCTGATGAAACGCAGGCTTTTGGAAGTAGGACAGTTTAAAGTTGGAAGTTTTGTTCGTTTTGCGACCTGTAATGGTCATAAAGCTAAATATTGGTAATTTTCGGGGCGTTTAAAGTTTGGGAGACGTGTTCAAGAAATGGGGACCGGTTCTTGTACTTGGTTGAATCTCTCCAGCTCACCCTGGGTGCACGGCGCTATCGGACTTACAGTGAATTACATGGGCTTAGATTCCAGCAAATATCGCCGGATTTCCCGCCGATGCTTCTCACGGATCATTTCCCCTTTTTCACAGATTTAGGGCATGGGCAATTCAAATAAACTCAAATTCTAGCTTCCCACACATGGAAGATGAGTAGTTGTTCCGGAGCAACTTCGGAGGACAATAATAGCTGAAAGTGTCCGACAAGCCGTGCGGAAACTGTCGACAGCAAGAGTGGGAGGCGCCCTTAACAACGAGATCGTGCCAACAGGCGCGCACAGTGAGGGGTCATGCACGAATGCGCGTTTCTAAGGCCATATTTCGGGGGTAGGGTAGTGCACAACCTTCGTGGACGAGCGCAGCTGTCGCCAACAGTGACACAGCGAACTAGGCTTTTGAACGTGGCTAGTGGGCGGGGTGCGTTCAGGTCGAGCTACTGGGGACAGATTAGGTTGGCAAAGACAACGGGGGAGGGAGGTGGTGTTCAAGTTTTGGTCACTGGCGCCGAAGCGACAGGGAGCGTGCGAATGGAGGGGCGTGGAATGCCGTCAACGGAGACGGTACGAGCGGCGTCGTTCATGGAATGTGTAGACCACACGGTGACGATTCTGGGTGGGAGAAACGAGGAAACTGCAGAGGAAGGGCTGAGTGAGCAACAGGCGCAACTCCTTCACACGATGGTGGGAACGTCGAACGGGGCGCGCGGGGTGCTGGTGAGCGTGCTGTCAGACCCGCGCGTGACGGTTGCGGACGGGGATGGGTCGAGTGAGTTGGCGGAGCGTGTGCTACTAGGGTGGAGCGAGGGCAGTGAGGAGCAGGAGCGGGTTCGGGACCTACTTGTGAAGAATGTGTTCATGTCGAGCTCGATGGCGCTTTTGTACTCGCGGCAAGGGGACGAGGAGAGGCGGGAAGGGAGCGAGCTGACGAGGGAGCGGGCGGTGCGTGTGACGCGGGAGGTGGGAAAGGGGGACGCAGGGGTGCGTGGGGTGGGACTGGAGATGGTGGCGGGGGCGGAGGAGGGGAAAGGGCGGTTTGTAGGGTTTCTGGAAAAGTGGGGATATGACGAGGGCCAGAAGGCTGAGGGCGCGAAATGGGTGCGGCGGGCCGTGAACTCGGAACCGTAGGAAGCTGTAAAGAGATTACACCGGACGCGGTCGCTGTGTGCCGTTGAAAGGAGATGTGTCCGAAACGAGGCCACCGCGCCCGTTCGATTCCCACGCTGTCAGCCGCACCGCGGCCCTTGGTTCCGGGAATATCCACCTGCCACGTGTCCGCTCCAACTCTCCCATCCCCCTCCCATCCCCCTTTTACTCTATATCATGCAAGGGAATA